CTCTTTTATTAGCTATGTGCTGAGACATTAGGCCACGTTCATAGATTTTCACAACAATAAAGAACCTGTGCGATATTCGACCTTCGACTGGAGTTTAAACGCGGACAACCACTTGCGGGCTTAGATTTTGGTGTAATCTCCGGGATAATGCGATCATTCTTAGGGGGGTTTTCGGCTGATGAAGTTTTTGCGATCCGCGTCAGAGTACGGTTGTTGTTGTGGTCTAAAATATGACTGCTCATACATCGTTGGCGTCGGAGAGGCATCAACATTCCGTTCATCGTAACTGTCCTCTTTTTATTTTTCCGATTACCATAGGAACAATAGATCAATGCAAAATTCGTCAATAAGAATCTTTCTAGCGAAAGTATAATAAATATTAATATTGATCCTTTGACTGGGTAACTAGTCAGTTTCTCTTAGCCTGCTCTTGATCGATGAATATTCAACGCGACTGTTTCTCGCAATTCGGTTTAACGCCCTCGAACTTGTTCCAATTATCTTATTCCAAGTTTCCTCATCCTTTCCAGACTAGCAAAGAGTAAATAGGCGCGAAACTGATAACATAAGTTAACATATACGAACCAATTGACGAACAATAACATCCATAATTGTCTTTTCAAAAATCGTAAACGTATCTTGTGATAGGAATCTCTTCTTTTAAACTTTCTTTTCCTTCTTTTATTTTCTCAAAAACTATGTTTTGGTTTCCTGGATTATTGTCTTTAATTTCCTCATTTCGTGCTGATTGCCCTGCTGATCGCAGCATCACCAAGCTATAGGGTGTCCCAGAATATAGCCTAATTTCACTGGCTCAATCCGAAAGACGATGGGGGTCCTATCCTCGTTTCTTGGAGTCTTCATCGTAATAATAGTAGCAGCAGTAGTAGGATGGCTTGCCCCAACGTTTAACCAATTCATCATTTCGTTCAGCTAAACCTCTCTTGTCTGGTTTGTATTCATCACATTTGTTTTCCCATCTTCTTTCAAGACCCCGTTTGTCACTCTTATAGTAGTAGTAACAAAAATAATAGTATGGATCCTTCCAGCGTTCTTCGAGGGCAGTGTCGGACGCAGGCAATGCTAAAGCCACCTCATAAAAGGCTACTAGAGAGATAGCTAAGGTAAATATTGTTCCTGTATTGGTCACAAGATGGCAACCCCCCCTATAGACCAAAGAAGAGCCCGAGGTGTACGATAAGAGCCGTAATATAAACCCTTGCCTATATGCGCGTACACAAACAGGAAGAAAAAAGCAGCGCCATTAGCGTGCAAGTATCTAATGAGCCATCCATAGTTGATGTCCCTCATGACTCTTTCAACGGAGTTAAAGGCCAAATCTAGGTCCGAGCAATAGTGCGTGGCTGTCGTACTGTTTCGTCATGCATAATATCTAACCGATCACTCCCAAAATAGACTGAGATCAATATAGATTCTACATGCTCAAAATAGATTTTCTCTGAACATTTTGTTGTGTTTGAGGGGGGTTGCAATACTATCTTGTATTGTTATACTTTGAGACAGTGAGAAATCGGTTATTTATTTGAAGTTAGCCGAGTGTGCTTGTGTCTGGCGATCGGCTCAGATGATTTATGGAAACATCCAATGTTGAAATCGTTGCGTCTACGAAGATTTGTTCAGGATCAAGAGCTTGTCGTTTCCACAGATGTGGATAGTTTCCTAACACAGGGCTCACAAGAAGGGCTCCTTTTGAATATGTCATCTTATCGTTTTCGTCTTTGGCATTGGGGTCTGGATCTATCTCTA